GCTCGGCCAGGGTGCACCCGCAGCACCATCCAGTCGGTCGAGCGTGTCTTCTCTTCCGCGTCCATCTGCCTTCCTCCTGGCCTGCTCTTTCCTCATGCATTCGTGGCACACGTGCATGACTGACAGTTCAGCACCACCTCCCTTTGCTTCGGGCTTTTCCATCAGAGAGAGCAGGGCACCATGCGCTGGATTTGCTGAGCGTGCCCTGGTATGACAGTGCCGCCTGCCCCCGCTCTCCTCATCACGTCTGCGGGTACCCGCAGGGAATGGCTTCTTCATCGAATCATTTGGTGGGATGCTGCTGAGCCCTGGTAGAGGAGCAGGGATAGCTGGAGTCGAAGCTCTCAGCCCTCGAGCAGCATCTCCCGCACGCTCACCCACTCTCTCCTGTCACACAGGTCCACTTGCTGAAGGACCAGCTGGCCGCGGAGGCGGCGGCGCGGCTGGAGGCCCAGGCTCGCGTGCACCAGCTTCTGCTCCAGAACAAGGACTTGCTGCAGCACATCTCGCTGCTGGTCAAACAGGTGCAGGAGCTGGAGCTGAAGCTGGCGGGGAACACCACCAGTAAGTGCTCCTGCCCCTTCCTCTCCCCTCGCAGCTAGCCGGGTCTGTGGAGGACATGTGTGTGGGTGTTTCTCGTGGGGTTTTTTGTGCATTTGCAGTGATCTTGTGTAGGGGAATATTAGTGCCCTTCTGGCCTGGCTTGTGTGTGTGCGGCAGGGTGCTTGCATGCAGCGTGGGAGGGGGCATGGGGAGGGCTGTATGGACAGGCGGTCACGTACATCCATCAGCTGTATGTCTGCTTTCCCCAGCGGCTGCGTGGTCTAGGCCAGCTCCTTACCTGCCCAAGAACCCCTCCTTGACCTTCCTCTCCAGCAGACATGCCCATCAGCTCCCCAAAGGAGCCGGGGTGGGAGACAGATAATCTTCTGTCCTGCAAAACTGGCACTTTGCTGACCAACGGCAGCTCCTGGCAGCAGTGGCACCAAGTGATGCCCTCTAAATGGTGGTGGTGGGGAGGTTGACACCCAAATGGCCCCAGACTATCCTCTTCTGGCCAATCTGCAGATAGCCGTGGAGGCTGGGGGGGACACACGCAA